AGTGGAGGAAAATCCTCACCCTTCTAATCTCATCATTGACATGACTTCATAGGTATGTTCTTTCTCTTTCCCCTGTGTCTTTTGATTCCTTTTATGTCTGACTACATGAAACTAATATTCAAGATTACTTTGTCTTGCCTCCTTTGCCTGACATTACGGTCCATGCAGACTCATTTCTCGAACAATTGCATACCAATACTGACATGACTCATTCTTCTCATCTACTTGACTCTCTTGTTCTGACTTACAGCCGTTCTTCATTTCTGTTCCTTGATTCCCAGACTTTTGGAATCTGTTATCTGCTTGGGGATGGACCCCTTGACTTCTATTTCCCTTTCTAGTATCCAGTCTTATGCCTTTGTCTCTTTCTTACCACCCTTCCATTTTACTTCTTTTCACTTCACCATATTTCAGATGCATTTCATTATGCTACAGTAGGGTATTTTGGAGAGGTTTGATCATTTTTTACATCATTTTGATCCATATTTCTTCTTCTGCTCTATCTCTCCTTACTTGGTTCCTCTACTGTTGGGATTTATTGAGATGGGATGCACTCTTAGCTAATGTATGTCTCCTTCATGCTTATTTATCTCTGTGATCTTTATCAGGCTCCATTTCTTTGTCAGGAGGTCTTCAGGGGTGTTCCTGACTCACTTGGAGACCAAGGCTGAGGCAGCTCAGCATCAGTCCTGTTTGGCTACTTTGGTTTCTTGTCTTCCTCAGCCTTGCCCTTCTGTCCCTTTCCCGAGGTCTGCTGTACCTATATTTTCCTTCCAATTTTAGTTTTCTGGTCTGTTTTTTCCCATCCTTCCACTTCCAGATGCCTCATCATTGACTGTCCTGTAGGATCTGGCCCTGTGGGAGCCCATCTGTCTCTCTTTGCCAGCCTTCAATCTCCATTTTTGACTGACCAATGGATTCTTCAGGTTCTACCCATGGCCTATCCATCTGTTTCTCTTCTCCTCCTTCCCTTTTCTAGTTTCCTTTCCTCCAATCCCATTTACACATTACGATCACCCTGTTTTTCAGAAGTTTTCTTCATTTCATTCATTGGGATCATGTGTTCCAGTTCTGTACTCATCATTTTGCCATTGCATCTGCTCCTTATGTCTTCAGTTGTGTCAAGGTGTCATTCACCTGCCATGTTTACAGATTGGGGCTGAGGTTCCATTATTACAATGACAATTAGCTTCTCCTCATCCCTTTGTGTGAGTACTCCTCTCACAAGTGCATTCTCCTGCAGGAGGCAGCACAGCTGGGCTGGCTTGTCCAGCGTTCAAAGTTTTTTTCTCATGCTCACCTTATATTTGGTACATTTGGTTGTTTCCTTCAACTCCCATCTCAGTCATGCTCAGCTTTCACCACTTCACCTACGAGCAGTGTAATGTCTTAACACCACATTTTTGTGCTTCACATTTACACCTGCCTGCAACATTCTTTCACTTTTGGGGACTCTAGCTTCCCTCAAATTACTCATTCCTTTAGGCTGTGCACACATGCACTTCTTTTAGTGAACATTGTCGGACCAATGAAACCTTTCTCAGGATCCACTGCCCATGATTCTGCATCTCCCTTCTCCTCTTCATGGGAATTTGTCTTGGTGGCCCTACTGTGCTAATACCATGGTGGGCATCCCCTTGCCACCTCCTGTGTAGATCTCTATCTTTTTGTAGATGCTTCTCGGTTGGACTGTGGCACATCTCTGAATGATGACATGACATTGAGCATTTGGTCCACATCAACTTACTCAAACTTCTTGCTATCTGTTGGGCATGTTACCATTTCTTCCTTCTTCTTGTGGATTGGTTGGTCATGATCCACTCCAACAATTCCATGGTCATTTCTTATAGCAGTCTTTGGGGGAGGGGAGTACCTTTTCCAGGACTCTTTGCTTCCAAGCCTTAGACCTGCTGTTTTGGGCTCATTCCCATCATATTTGTCTCACATCTTATCATGTGCTGGGGGCTCTGAACTTGGTAGCTGATTGCCTCTGTTGGCCAGACAGGATTCTACCTCTTTACTCTCAGGTTTTTCATTGAGTTTGCTCTCGGTTAGGCATGCCTCTTATTGAGGCCTACACCACTCCTCTCAACACCAGACTTCCTTTCTTCTGGTCTCCATTTCTTCATCCTTCAGCCCTGGTGGTCAATGGTCACAGCCACAACAGGTCTTACCTTTTTCTGTATGCCTACCCTCCTCTTTGCTCCCTTGTGTCTTGGCTTTGATACACGACACTCCTTGTCGGGTTCCTGTTGGTGGTGCCTCTTTGGCTGGTACAACCTTAGTTTCTTCTACTTCACCAATTGCCATACAGGACCCTTCTTCCTCTGCTTCATTCCCACTCTCTCTTGCTCCAGCCAAACATGTCTCTCTTTCATCCAGGAGTGTCATCCCTTCATCTTCATGTGTGTGATTTGTCCAGTCCATTGCCCACAGAGTTGACCTCTCTAACCATGTAGCCTTTTTCATATCATATTCCTGTCATCTTTCAACTCTGTTCATCTATCGACGGCCTTTCGGCCTTTTTGGATTGTCAGTTTCCACCATTGCTGGTTATCAGGCAGCCTTATCAACTACATTTTACCTTACCAATTTTCTCCAGGTTATTTCTTCCCTTGTCCTCTCCATTTTGTTGAGATCCTTATTTCTTCATCACCCCCTCATCCTACTCCCTTGCTTGACAGGGACCTTAATGTGGTTTTACACTCTCTTACACATGCTTCATTTGAGATGTTGATTTCATATTTGTTATATCATATTTTTCCAAAGACATATTTTCTTTTTCTTCTTGCCAATAGTCATTTTTATTCGGATGTTTATGCCATTGATGCTTCCCACACTTTCACCATACTTGGTTCTCTACTTCAGCTGCTTGGGAAGGTGATCATTCTTTCTCTCCTATTTTTCTGTCTTTGATTTCTCACCTCTGTGCTCATTTGGATTTGGATTGCCAGCTGTGTTTGGTTTGGACTTTAAGAGTTCCTATCATCATTTGTTCCTACCTTCAGACCCCCTCTTTGTTTGGGAACCTCTTTATTTCTAACCTTACAGGATTGGTCCGCCATCTCCTTTGGTTGATATATTCTTATTGGATATTGATGCTTGCGTGCTCTTTAACATTTCATCACATTAGGTTAGTCACCTGTCTCATTCTCTTGTGCTTCACTTTTGCTGACCCTTAGACAAGATCCTTCAAGCAGGCACTTGGACAGCACTGTATAAATTTGTCTCCCATTATATTCATCATCTAGCTGTTTCGTCTCCTGCAGGATTTTGACTTCCTCTGGTTGCTGTTCTTCATTCTACACACCATCTTTGAGAAGGATATTTTTTTCTCGTAACCCTCTTCCCCTTTATAGGATTCTGCCAGGTGGCTGGTGTTGCTTCCCAGGGTATGCTTATTACCCAAAATGCACATAGCGCCAAGGGTAACAGAGTACTCAATCCATTCGTCTTGGCTCTAGTAGTGCTATTGTTGAGATAGGGTGTTCTGCAAGACCACAAGAGGTATCCTTATGTATTTAAATTAATCAATTGACTGATTGAGACTCTACTTTCCATGAACTATCATTGAAAAAGCTGGCACCAGGGAAGTGGCTGTCCACTTCTTTGTCTCACATGTGCTGAATTTTAGAAATAGGGTTTTGTGGTTACCCATTGCATTGTCTCCAGTAAAGGACCTTCCACCAGGCACATGATGGGGATTTGTGTATTTCTCTTGGCTTCACCAGTGTAAATTCCTACCCTCCCTCATCTTCTTCAAGGGGAACATAGGAGGCCATTTCCACTTTCCATTTCCTAGCTACTGGGGTGGTGGACCTTGGAGAGTTCCTCGCAGATTGTGTACAACACAATACGATTGGAAGTAGAGTGGTGGTGGTACTATCTGTGTATTGTGGGTCCCTCCTCAAACAGCTAGTGTGCCCTCCTCCTGCAGCAGGATGGTGTCATCAACACTGTCCCAGTTTGTCCACTTGTGTCGAGGTGAGACAAACACCTTATGGTCTGATAATGCTTTAACCACACTACACCTTTTGTCTTGCTGACCATTTGTGTGCTAAAATTCCATCTATCTCTGCAACACTTGAGGATATTTTGTCTTCTGTTCTATTTTCTTCTTGATGAAGAGTATATCCTGGTTGAGACCAGATGTGGTCTCCCACAAGTATGCCCCTATGGAACCCTTGGCATCAGGTGTCGCACTCCATGGGCTTTCCCTTCAGACACTTTCTGAAGAGAGCTCATCGAGGTTTAATGTTTGCACTGAGTCCTCTATCATTTCAATGTGGGATTCTAGCTGTTCTGTGTGAAGAGGAGAAGTATTATTTCAGAAGTTTTAACATTTTCCTTAACTAAAAATGTATTACTGATAGATATTTACTTCTTCACACCAGTCTACCCAATTTCTGGTGCACTTCTTGCCTCATCTAAGAAGGAGTTAATTTGAGCACAAGTGCTTAGAAGGAGCTACTGTGAAAGGAGGTTGTGTCACCCTCCTATTACTGAAGGACTGTTGTTGCATGATGATGACATCATGCACTAGCACAGTTCATGTTAAACATGTTTTTAAGGTGGGAGGTAAAAAAAGAATCAAGTTCTGTGCGAGGAGGCAAGTATCTATCAGAAATACATTTTCAGGTAAGGAAAATATTAAAATCTCAATGTTCACCCAAACTAAAAATACCAATTTGTCTCTGTCATTAATGACTGAGATTTTCAGTGGTTTTATTTATTTTTATTTTTTAAAGATATGGTGGTTTATAGTAATATGATTTCTTTATAAAATTTGCTCTTAACAATATTATTAAACATATGTCTGCCACACTTTTTATCATACATTATTTTGTATTGTTAATGTTAACATGTGTGCTTTCTAAACTTTTGGTTGTATCAAAAACTTCTTGCTTAAAGCTGATGTTTTTCATAATTAGAATGTTGTGAATCAACTTTAAAAGGTTTTAACACTGATTGAGTTTGAAACCATTTTTCAACATCCACATTTAAAGATGTGTTTTGGTGTTACAATGTTTAACGTTTAGTAAAAGGTTCATAACTGTTATAATTGTTTTATGAAAAATTTAATCCAAACAAGTGCACAAACCATGCTTATGCATGTATATTTATATA